GCCAACAGAGTGAATTAGCTCAGTTTTGATAATGCCATATGTAATAACCTTGATGAATTCGACAGTTTCGCGTTTCGCCAAATTAGTCATTTACCGGTAACTGCTGAACGAATTGCGCTGGAAACGAGAAAGGATCCATATCTTGGTAGGATTGCAAAGTTATTTGAAAGTGTACAGTGTTTGTCAAAAGCTGGTTACAAATCACCTACAAAGTTTCGTCAGGGTGTTTAATGTTTGAGCCCCGAATTGTGGTCCTTCTAGGAATGGTTAGGATGAAAGGCATAGCCAGGTCCTTCGTTTATTAACCGGGCATTGACAAATACATTGAGAACACTGCGAGGGAATGCAAGAAATGTGCAAAATATGCAAATGTCCCGAAAAAGTGCACAGATCATCAAATATATACGTAGATAGTATTATTCACATGGTTTCTAATGAATCGCCGTATAAGACCCATATGGATATTAAAATGAGAGAAACGCATGGTGTATTCTATTACAATATGTAGAACGTAGAACGTAGTATGTAGAACGAAGAATTCTTCATAAGCTTTAGGACATTTCTGCCGCCGTAAGTGATACTAGTATTGCCTTGGCAGAAATATCCTAGCTGGGGCACAGGGGATCAAAATTATCCTGATACATAGTATTGTGATAAGAGTTGCCGAATTTACGAATCTGCACGAATCTTTAACTTTGTAATATTTGTTTAAAAAATTACTCCTTCTAAGAACTCCAGTGATTCTTATATTGTCCTGGAAGAAATATCCCAGCTGGGGCACGGGTAATCAAAATTATCCGTGCAAATAGAATTCCGACAGCAATTACCGAATTGGTAACTTTTAATTGAGTCTTTAAGTTTTTAATATTTGCGTAGGATTTACTCCTTATAAAGTTTTCAGTAATACAATATTGTCATGGTAGAAATATCCTAGTTGAGGCACAGGGAGTTAAAGTTATAATCTTCATTAACTACCGAGTGATACTAATATTGTTCTAGAAGAAACGTCCTAGCTTGGCCACAGGAAGACAAGTTACCCTGACTTATAGAAATCCAAAAATAGTCGCCGAATATTACGGTTTTAAATAGAATCTTAAAATTTTAAATATTTGAATAGCATGTACTCTTTATAGGCTTTGAAGCGTTTATTTTCTTGGCCAGGCAGAAATATTCAGGTGCACGCAATGGCACTTTTACATGACCAATAGAATTGCAAGAAATGTCTGTGATTTTCGGGATTTTTAAATCAAAGCATAGACTTTTACATATTTGATTAGGAAGAACTCTTTATAGCATTTGTGCTGGGAGAAATATCCTAGCTGAGGTCGGAAAATGTCGATTTCGTAATTTGTAAATCAAGGTTACCCAATTGTCTCCCTTTTACATACTCTTCGAAGTAAAAAAGTCAAAGTTATCCCGACACATTGATTTTTAAATATTTGGGTAGTATTGTCTTAGCAGAGATATCTTAGCAAGACCGAAAAAAGTCACTGAATTTGGCCACTTTTAAATCGATTCTTGAGCTTTGGGATATATGAGAAGGGAGTACTTTTTATAAACTTTCCAGTGTTAACAATATTGTCCTAAGAGAAATATCCTAGTCGCTGATTTTGATGATTTTTTGAACTTTTGAATATTTGGGTAGAAGGTAATCTTTATAAACTTTCCAGTGAAACTAGTGTTGACATGACAGAAATATGCTAGCTAGATCACAGGTGATTTCTAAATCGATTCTTAAAGTCGCCATTATCATAAACTTTTAAATATTTGGGTAGAAAGAGCTCTTCATAAGGTTTTCAGTTATGCTAATTTTGTATTGACAGAGGGTGTCAAAGTTATCCCAATACATAGATTCCGAGAAAAGTTGCCTAATTTGGCTATCATTAACTTTCAAATATTTGAGTAAGATGTACTCTTCATTCCGATAAAAGTCGCTCAATTTGGCGATCATAAACTGTGGAATATTTGGCTAGTATATACTTTTCATAAACTTTCCAATTATACTTGTATTTTCCTTACAGAAATATCCTATCTGAGACCCTGGGGGTCAAAGATACCCGGACACACAGAATTTCGACAAAATTTACAAACACTTAGGAATGTTATACTGATATTGTTCTGGCAGAAATATTTTTATTCTTAAACATTTGAATATCTGAGTAAAAATTAGCACTATATTTTTAGTACACTAACAATTTCACTTCCAGCACTCAATTAGTGGTAGTAACATTTTTTCACTACCGCTAAAATTCTAGTGGTAATGAAAATCCAATTCCACTACCATTATTCATTTGTTGGTATTTAAAATAAAATTTCTCTACCATTAAATGTTAGTGTAAGTAAAATTTTAATTGCTTTATAGCTAAATTTAAAAAAAAAAATCACTAATTTAATCATTAAACTCACTTTTTGCTTTTCACTTCAGTTAACTTCATGATAACTGATAATACTTATATACATGGCGTTTTTTAGTTGTACTAAAATTTAGTAGCAGAGCATTTTTTAAATACAACCAAACGGCTAGTAGTGGCGCAATTTCATTCTCCACTACCACTTACCATTTAGTAGTATTGAAATTTTACTAGCACTACCAATAATTTCGTACAGTCCCAATATGAAGGTACTTCCGGTATTTCGATGATATTACCCACATTTTCTCGCCATTTTTCTATATGCTGATTATGAATATATACATACTTGATGGGGTCTACGACGAATATTTAGGGATGTTACAAACGGAATGGCAAAAGTGGTATACCCTCCATTTCAAGGTGAATATAAGTCGTGGGTTTCTCTTTGAAACTTCAATGCGTTACAATGCTGGTGATAATGAAACGATAACTTTAAGTTTCAATGATCGTAACGACATATGCGATATGCGAATATGGTGTTCAATTACAGCAAGAAGAAAATCACAACTACTCAATAAAAATCCAGCACAGAATCATCAACAATTTCTCTAGTTAACTTCTTCGTTTAAAATTCAAACCTTCATTTATCGTAAATGTCATAGTCATCCGAAATTTGCCAAGTTTCATAACGAATTCACTAACTTTACATCGACAAAAATAAAATTATGTGATATTTCCAAAATTTCGCGTTTTCAAAGTTTTCCACTAAGAATTTAAATATTTAAGATAGTCCTTCCGAAACAATTCAGCACAATCCAATCAAAAAATTACATTCGACATCCTTTGTTGGTGCCATGTATAGAAAACTGGACCAGCAGCTTTTCGAAGAACACTAATCTCCTTGATCTAGCGTGCAATGAAATTCTTGTTTCGATATGGCTAAATTATCAAAAGGAACCTTTTGTTTTTTTTTTCCTGATATGCTCGTAATGCCTGGAAATTGAGTTAGTAAATTATGATATTAACAATTTTCCTCCTTAATGTTAATGTTGATGGCAGTTTTTGGATCTACGGATATGCAGCGCTTCATATCAACCAGTAAACCATAATGCTTTAAAAAAATCAGCTCCGGTGATAGTATGAGACACACCATCATACACAAATTTACATGGAAATGGTCTTCGAAAACCAAGTGCTAGAGTTTGTATTTTTATTCCATAGGTTTTGATTGATATACCATTTGCAGCAAAAAGAGTGTATTTTTGGGACGACTGTGGGGTTTCATATGATCCACGGGTATAACGGAAATGTCTGTGTCGATTAGAAAATACTTTCCTATCATTTTATCATGAACAAATATGCGATTTTTTTTGGCTAGACCGATCGCATCTCGCCTCTAGTGACCGATTGATTTTCTAATGTTTGATTGCTGTGGAAGATGCCTGGTTTAGGCACTTCCTAACTCTCTGCCTAAAACGACGGTGATAATAACATATACCCGAAGTCGTTGAGTTGCTTCGTGCATTTATACGTTTCTCCTCGTACACGGAAAAATGTTCCATCAAACATTTTTCAAGGTGGTTTAAAGATTTGGTGAGGATTCAAGACGATATCACTTGCATGCGTCAGGAATACGGTATCCCATTTCGATATAATTATAATGTATTTCATTTGCTCGGAATCTATTCCATTCAAAGCAGATTGCGCTTCTACCTGAACAAACCAATGCGATGAATTTTATTTCCAAAATCGAGGAATTATTTTAAATGTGTCATTGACACAGGTTGAATTGCATTCTGTTGAGGTGCAGCATCAACTATCTTGTATTGATTTGGCATTGTTGACATTTCTTGAAGAAAATTCAGCGGCGGGTGTCACCAATTTATCTTAGAAGGCTGAGCAATATATTGGAAATTGGCAATTTGGTTTGCATTAAGTGGGTGATTGTTATCATCAGTCAAAATTTCCTCAGTTACCATAACTATTTTTCGTTATTAGGAAAGTGTGTTGTAGTGATGTCTTAAAAAAAGAACCCAAGTTCATAATAAAAAAAATAAGAATTTTATTTGAGTTTGTTCGTAGATGGACAATATTGACTCACCAAGATTTTTAAAATAATCATATATCCTATATCATTGGCCGGTATTCTTGGGGTAATTACAAACCCAAGCAATCTTAAATATTATAACAAACTTTGGACTGTTGCCGTATATACATATATCTTCCCAAAAGGTAAATAACTTTCAAACCTTTCCTTTCGGTCTCTAGTCCTTAGATAATGTGTTACTAGGTTTCCGAGCTGGGCTTGTATATTTAGGATAAAAGTAATGGTTCACCACTACTACTACCTCTATCCTATCGATATTAGACACAAAAAAGCTTAGCTGAGTTCGGAACGCGGAATGTACGCTGAAGCCACCATTTCGCATGGTGTTGTATATGTAAACTCGATATTGACATTACTTTTATTTTATCTGCCAGATGGCAACCCTACTTTCACTAACATTTCTAATTCCATATTCTTTAGTTATTAATTTATATTTTACTGTGGTAACTTGTACATCACAATCTTTCTTAATGAAATAAACAGAATTAGACTTCAGACTTTGAGTATACAGTCAGAAGTGGACAGGCACGATGAACCAGGAGCAGTTGGGTGCAGTTTTTTGCTTCCTTCGCGGCCGCAGTCTGTAACGTCAGAAGACATAAATACAACAAGACCGCCCGGTTTGCAATAAGCGAATACAAAAGCACAGATGGCTCAACGGTTTAAGACTATTTTGACAGATTCGATTGGGCGTTGAAATTGAGCACGATTGCTCAAGAGGATTATCATAATTATGCGCGCGTACATATGGGTGCTCAAATTTCTAATTAGTCCTAAGAGGCCAGAAGAAATGAAATATGAAGAAATCAAATTAATAAATCATTTCGAAGGGAGGAGAAATATTTATGCGGAAAGTTTCAGATTTCGACAGATACGCAAAGATGTAGGGGAATCGTTGGCAAATTTTTCACTGCGCTTGAAGCAACCTGCGGCTTCGTGTGACTATGGGGCATTCCTGGATGGGATGCTGACTGAGCAGATGATATTTGGAGTGGAATTCTGCAACATTTGTGACGAGATTGTTACTAAGCAACCAAAAAGTTTCGCAGTGGCATATGAGTGTGCCACGGCAAAGGAGTTAACTCAAGTATCAACGGGTGTAGTAAATACAGGTGAGAATATTACTACAGAACCGACATGCAAATTGGGATTTATTCCAGTCAAGACGAAAAATGGTGTGAAGCAGAAGTCGCATAAAACTACGGAGGTAAGATGTTATGGTTGTGGTGGTCGACACGTACTGAAGGATTGTAAATTCAAAAACGCAAAGTGTTTTTCATGCAGCAAGGTAGGCCACATAAGTAAAGTGTGCAAGTCAAAAACAAAGCAGATAGAGGAGTCGCTGTTGTCAGATGAGGATGAGGAGGCACATACGTCTCTGATTGCAACAGTCAGAACAAAAGGCCCATTCGATCGGAAAATGGTCACAATGAAGAAAGATGGCCAAAAATTGGATATTGGAACTGGATACGGGTGCTCCTTGCAGTATTATTAGCTTGCAGAATTTAAAGAACATAAAGCAGTTACCAGTGTTACAGAAAGCGGTCCGGCGATTTTCAAGTTATACGGGGCACAAGATTACGCGCATAGGACCTACCGTGGTGAATGTGGGCAGAACCAGTCGTAGGCTTAACTTATACGTAGTTGATGGCGATTGTGACACATTATGTGTGTGAGTGAGTTGATCGCACATTTTGCTCGAGAAATAAATGTTGCCAAATTGTTCCAAGACCCAATAGAAGCATCAACGAGGATGAAATTGTCATCAGCGGCAGGAGAGAAGATAGCATCTATAGCAGTAAAAACCCCATATAAAGATATATTCAGTGATGCAGCGGGTAAGTTCAAAGGTCCTCCTATTAAAGTGCAATTAAATCAAGATGCTACGTCAAAATTTGAAAGACCCCGAGAAATCGCATTCGCATTACGGGATGCGTATGCCAAAGAAATAGATGCTAAGATTGCGGCGGGTTTTTACGAAAGCTTAGGGTATTCAGAAGTGACGAAGAAGAATGGAGGTATACGTATTAGGGGTAACTTCAAACCAACCGTAAATCCACAAATTGTAATAGATGAACACCCAATTCCGAAAGCGGAGGATATTTTCAACAGGATGAAGGGCTCAACGGTGTTTGCCCATTTGGATATTACAGACGCGTATTCAAACTTGGTCCTTGACGAGGAATTTGCCCATGTCCTGACGCTGATACTCCAACACATGGACTGATACGTCCAAGAATTTTATGGAGCCGCCAACATTTGCTATTTGGCAAAGAACGATGGAAATGGCTATAGATGACATTCCTAATATTCTTAATTTTTTCGACGATATTCTGATGTTTGCAACATATGTTGATGATCTGTTGAAAGTTCTTGAGACTGCATTATACAAGTTAAAGGAATTTGGATTAAAGTTAAACAAAAAGAAGAGCGTATTTGTGACGTCATCGACTGAATTTCTAGGTCACAAAATCGACGTCAAAGGAATTTATAAATCTAACAAACACATTGAAGCGATTATGCATGCGACAAGCCCAAGAACGTTGGAGGAGTTACAATTATTTTTGGGAAAGGCGTCGTATTATTCGAATTTCATACCAAACCTGTCTACATTTGAGAGTCCACTTCGGGACGTTTTGAGAAAAGGAACATTCTATTGGAATAAAGATACAGATGCGGCATACACCACAATTAAGCAACTCTTGATATCTCCGCAAGTACTGATCCCGTACGATCCAGCATTGCCTAATCTACTTCCAATGGATGCCAGTAAAACGGGACTGAGAGCTGTTCTGTCGCATCGTCTTTCTAATGGACTGGGACGTCCAATGGCTTATGCGAGCCGCACCATGAACGCGACGGAGCAAAGATATTCACAAATCGATAAAGAGGCACTGTCCATAGTGTGGGCCGTCCAAAAGTTTTTCAAGTACCTGTATGCCTGTATTTTTTTGTCTCGAGTAACTCCAGCCAACAGAGTGAATTAGCTCAGTTTTGATAAGGCCATATGTAATAACCTTAATGAATTCGACAGTTTCGTGTTTCGCCAAATTAATCATTTACCGGTAACTGCTGAACGAATTGCGCTGGAAACGAGAAAGGATCCATATCTTGATAGGATTACAAAGTTATTTGAAAGTGTACAGTGTTTGTCAAAAGCTGGTTACAAATCACCTACAAAGTTTCGTCAGGGTGTTTAATGTTTGAGCCCCGAATTGCGGTCCCTCCTAGATTTCGGGGCGATTTAATGAAAGATTTGCATGGCGCCCATCTAGGAATGGTTAAGATGAAAGGCATAGCCAGGTCCTTCGTTTATTAACCGGACATTGACAAATACATTGAGAACACTGCGAGGGAATGCAAGAAATGTGCAAAATATGCAAATGTCCCGAAAAAGTGCACAGATCATCATTGGCAGTACCCCAAGGCTCCGCGGAAACGAGTGCACATAGATTATGCGGGTCCCTTTGAGGGAATGGTGTTACTCATCAATAGCCATGCCTTCTCTAAATTTTTGGAGGTAAAGGTTACCAAGTCAATGACCGTTGCATTGCTGGGTGAAGTGTTTGCTACATACGGATTACTATTAATAGTAGTTTCCGATAATGAAACGAATTTTTCTTCGGATGAATTCAAGAATTTTATACAAGGAATTGGCGTTAAGTAAAACAAATTTACTGTCCCCTACCACCCAGCAACAATCGGCGAAGCAGAGCGAAGTGTCCAAACGGTGAAGAATGCATTAAAGGCTATGTGTACAACGAAAGTGACATTGAATCAGAATCTAAACGAATTACTGAGACAGTACAGGAATGCACCTCATGCGAATACGTGTCAGCCCCCAGCACAGTTGTTCCTAGGACGACAGTTACGAACACGTGTAGATCTAGTGCGCCCACATGAAACTAGCAGTAAAGTAACAGCCAAACAGTTCATGAAGAGTAGCTGTAAATACAGGGAATTGGAAAAGGATCAAAACGTGCACATCCACGCATTAGCAAATGGCTTAAAGGCAAAGTGACCAAACGTTTGGGAGATGTCCACTATCAAATGCTGTTCCAGGGGAAGTATTATAGAAGACATATTGATCAAGTTCGTGGTACAGATCAAAATGATATTGACACATGCAGTCGTCGCACACCAGTCAACAGTAAGAAAAACTCTGTGAATCGTCCGAATAGCTACGGAGCCGGTTCGAGCATCGTCACCGACGAACAGCAAGAACCGGTAATCGAACAATCCGTGTGGTGAATTATGGCCCAGAATAAAATCAAATGATTGCCTCTACCATCCTTTGCAACGCAGTGTACTGCGAAGTAATATTTTCAATATTATCTTCTTCATCTCTTCCTTCTGAAATTCTATCGTAACTCATGCGATAAAAATAGCTACATTTCTGCAACAGGCTAGTAAATAAGTGATTATTCCATTAAAAAAACACAAAAAAAAAGAATTTTCGAAGCATATATAAAATTTTGTTAAGTGTTTTTTAAGACATAATAAAAGTTGGTCTGCTTTGTAAAATCAATTAAAATTTTAACAATCCGTGATCATAATTAACTGCGTGATACACTAAATTTCTACGGAGGTGTGGTTTTAATGAAAATAAAAGGTATTTTTGGTTCTTTTTTCGTAAATTTAAAATTTTAAACAAATTACCTTCTGCATTAATTATTAGACAACTCGTGTATCGTGATCTATCACATACTACCACAAACTTCTTTATCTCCCAATTTTCAAAAATTCCAAAACTGAGGTAAGAAGTGATCTTACAGTGACCTTAATTATGCATGAAATCAGTATCGTTTTTTCCATTTGCTAGATCGATCTTACATTCCTCGTTTGCGGCTGAAATGTCAAAAGCCGTGAATGAGGATTTCCGTTTTTGTTGCTGGACAAATTATATTTTATTATAAAGCCATACCAAAATTCACTTCCTTTGGCTAAAAATACTTTTGAAGAAAGGGTTTATGTTGGTTTACTACCTACATTGCGGATTGGGAGAAACCAACTATACATAATTTTGCCTTCAAAGACAAATACAATTAAAGTGTTGGTACAAATTATCTACAAATTGGCAATATAATTAAATTTATCAGTATCCACACAAGTAGATAATACGAGTATACCTAATCAAATCCACTACGGTGTAACATAAACACGTGTTGAAATCCAGAACTTGTGGCGTTACTACAACAAAGCCCATCACCAACACTTGTACGTGCTAACTAATAACCAATCATTGAACAGCAAGAAAGCTTATTGGTAACATCAACTAGTAAAACCTGCGCTGAAGCCATCCTTGCCAACACAGCTCAATAGTCCAGTCGTCTAAGGGCACAACTAGTGACCAGTAATCATAGCATCGTGGGTTCAAATCACGCCACCAACACAGAATACTTTAGTTCTAAAAATTTAAATTGCAACGAGTTTCATAAGTATTAAACACAGAAAAATTGAGTTCCTTCAAATAAGCAAATATTTTAACACTTAAAATTCTTTAAACCCTACAACAAAACGCACCAATACACCTATATTCTTAAAAAACACGCAATACAAGCATTCATCGAGGCCTCGAGGATCAAAGTACAGCGAAGAAACAATGTGTTGAGATAAGTAAAGGATCAACATAAAATCCTTTAAAAAAATATAAAAAAAACAACAAAAGTGAGTAAAAACCAAAAATGAATTAAAAAAGTCTTAAAATATTTACATATCCAAAAACTGAATTAAAAATAAGGATAAAACGAAAGGATCAAGGATCTACCAGTACACCAAAAATCAATCCTTTGGTTAGTTTCTATAAAATAATTTTGCTATTGCCAGGAATTCATATGGTAAAAATTTGATCCTTTTGTTTATCCTTTTTGCATAAAGATAAGTTTGATTTTGTTATTTCTGTAATAAGTTAGTGCTTTTTTTAAGAAAAGAATGTATTTTCCAAAATCAAGTGATTGCCAGAATTGTATGTCTCACGAAGCAACCAAAAAACAATGTCCTTTGTTAAATTATATCTAAAATTATATCTTTGATACAAAATTCCCTTCAATGTATTTTAAAATTCAAGAAATTTCAATAATCAAATACTTATTTAAAATATTGAAGAACTAGCAAGGATATATTCAATCTGTTATACAATTGATGTACATATATATAATTTCCCATAGAATTTAGTATGAATCAAATTTTTTAGAACTTAAGCTTTCATGAATTTCTCCATAATTATATATATTTTATGTGATAAATGAAATTCCATATTTATCTAAATACATCTTGTTATTACTCAAGGTGAGTTCCTAAACTCACGATATATTTTCTTACGATGGTGAGGTAAGCTAGGGGGAATCGAAAGATGATTTTGGGGTCTCAAAAAACCTATAGCCTTGAAACCGTGGTTGGTAGGGTACAGAGGCTAAGCCTCCGCGAATATCTGAAGAGCCTACTGTTATATTCTAGGGTTGATCGTTGCAGTTTTTCTTTATTCATTTTGACCAAAAAAGAGGTTTAGTACATGGTCAAGATCATAGCCATCCAATAGTAGTTCTTTTGTAAACTAGGGAGTCAAAAACGCAAAGTGTTTTTCATGCAGCAAGGTAGGCCACATAAGTAAAGTGTGCAAGTCAAAAACAAAGCAGATAGAGGAGTCGCTGTTGTCAGATGAGGATGAGGAGGCACATACGTCTCTGATTGCAACAGTCAGAACAAAAGGCCCATTCGATCGGAAAATGGTCACAATGAAGAAAGATGGCCAAAAATTGGATATTGGAACTGGATACGGGTGCTCCTTGCAGTATTATTAGCTTGCAGAATTTAAAGAACATAAAGCAGTTACCAGTGTTACAGAAAGCGGTCCGGCGATTTTCAAGTTATACGGGGCACAAGATTACGCGCATAGGACCTACCGTGGTGAATGTGGGCAGAACCAGTCGTAGGCTTAACTTATACGTAGTTGATGGCGATTGTGACACATTATGTGTGTGAGTGAGTTGATCGCACATTTTGCTCGAGAAATAAATGTTGCCAAATTGTTCCAAGACCCAATAGAAGCATCAACGAGGATGAAATTGTCATCAGCGGCAGGAGAGAAGATAGCATCTATAGCAGTAAAAACCCCATATAAAGATATATTCAGTGATGCAGCGGGTAAGTTCAAAGGTCCTCCTATTAAAGTGCAATTAAATCAAGATGCTACGTCAAAATTTGAAAGACCCCGAGAAATCGCATTCGCATTACGGGATGCGTATGCCAAAGAAATAGATGCTAAGATTGCGGCGGGTTTTTACGAAAGCTTAGGGTATTCAGAAGTGACGAAGAAGAATGGAGGTATACGTATTAGGGGTAACTTCAAACCAACCGTAAATCCACAAATTGTAATAGATGAACACCCAATTCCGAAAGCGGAGGATATTTTCAACAGGATGAAGGGCTCAACGGTGTTTGCCCATTTGGATATTACAGACGCGTATTCAAACTTGGTCCTTGACGAGGAATTTGCCCATGTCCTGACGCTGATACTCCAACACATGGACTGATACGTCCAAGAATTTTATGGAGCCGCCAACATTTGCTATTTGGCAAAGAACGATGGAAATGGCTATAGATGACATTCCTAATATTCTTAATTTTTTCGACGATATTCTGATGTTTGCAACATATGTTGATGATCTGTTGAAAGTTCTTGAGACTGCATTATACAAGTTAAAGGAATTTGGATTAAAGTTAAACAAAAAGAAGAGCGTATTTGTGACGTCATCGACTGAATTTCTAGGTCACAAAATCGACGTCAAAGGAATTTATAAATCTAACAAACACATTGAAGCGATTATGCATGCGACAAGCCCAAGAACGTTGGAGGAGTTACAATTATTTTTGGGAAAGGCGTCGTATTATTCGAATTTCATACCAAACCTGTCTACATTTGAGAGTCCACTTCGGGACGTTTTGAGAAAAGGAACATTCTATTGGAATAAAGATACAGATGCGGCATACACCACAATTAAGCAACTCTTGATATCTCCGCAAGTACTGATCCCGTACGATCCAGCATTGCCTAATCTACTTCCAATGGATGCCAGTAAAACGGGACTGAGAGCTGTTCTGTCGCATCGTCTTTCTAATGGACTGGGACGTCCAATGGCTTATGCGAGCCGCACCATGAACGCGACGGAGCAAAGATATTCACAAATCGATAAAGAGGCACTGTCCATAGTGTGGGCCGTCCAAAAGTTTTTCAAGTACCTGTATGCCTGTATTTTTTTGTCTCGAGTAACTCCAGCCAACAGAGTGAATTAGCTCAGTTTTGATAAGGCCATATGTAATAACCTTAATGAATTCGACAGTTTCGTGTTTCGCCAAATTAATCATTTACCGGTAACTGCTGAACGAATTGCGCTGGAAACGAGAAAGGATCCATATCTTGATAGGATTACAAAGTTATTTGAAAGTGTACAGTGTTTGTCAAAAGCTGGTTACAAATC